ACCCAGCTAGGGTAAAAATAAAAATTTCTGACATAAATACCATCGCAGCAGTGATAACTTATACTAAATACTACCCTGAAGGGAACATCAGCTTTAAATTCTGCAAACGTGAATCTATATATCCTCACCTAACTATTTCTCTGAATTATATGAAAAGGTGCAATTCTCTTAATTGCTATACAAAGAGGAGTGTAAGACACTATAAATTACTTTTTTAAAAAGAAGGGTAGCCCTGCCCAATGTGGCTCCGTTGGTTGAGCGTAGTCCTAGGCACTGAAAGGTCGATAGTTCTATTCTCAATCAAGGCACATGCCCAGGTTTTGGGGTTTGATCCCCATAAAAGGCACCTGCGGGAGAGGCAACCGATGAACATTTCTCTCACATTGATGTTTTTCTCTCTCCCTAAATCAATAAAAACATTAAAAAGGAAGCGGGGCCCTGGCTGGTTTGGCTCAGTGGATAGAGCATCGGCCTGTGGACTGAAGGGTCCCAGGTTCCGGTCAAGGGCACATACCTGGGTTGTGGGCTCAGTCCCCAGTAGCGGGCATGCAGGAGGCAGCCAATCAATGATTCTCTCTCATTATTGATGTCTCGCTCTCTCTCTCTCCCTCTCCCTGCCTCTCTGAAGCCAATAAAAATATATTAAATAAATAAAAAGGGGGTGGGGGTAATAGGGTATCAGTCAAACATCTAAAACACTGACCACTGAGTGTATTAAAAGGTAAATTTTGGCCCTGGCTGGCATGGCTCAGTGGTTAGAGCATTGGCCCACGCACTGAAGGGTCTCGGGTTCAATTCCCTGTTAAGGGTATGTACCTGGGTTGCAGGTTTCATCCCTGGCCTGGGTTGGAGTCTGTTTGGGAGGTAACCAATCAAAGTGTCCCTCTCACATCGATGTTTTTATCTCTCTCTCCTCTGTCTCTTCCCCTCTTTCCCTTCTTTATAACCTCTCTGAAAAGCAATGAGAAAAATATCCCAGGGTAAGGATTAACAAAAATAAATAAATAAATACATTTTAAAGAAATGATTAGGGATCATCAGAAACAGATCCTCAAAAAAAAAAAAAAAAGAGGTTGCCCTGACCGGTTTGGCTCAGTGGATAGAGCATCAGCCTGCGGACTCAAGGGTCCCAGGTTCGATTCTGGTCAAGGGCATGTACCTTGGTTGCAGGCACATCCCCAGTAGGGAGTGTGCAGGAGGCAGCTGATCAATGTTTCTTTCTCATCGATGTTTCTAGCTCTCTATCCCTCTCCCTTCCTCTCTGTAAAAAATTAATAAAATATATTTAAAAAAAGAGGCAATTTTTAGTACTTAAGGAAAAATGCACATTGGCACATATTAGAATAAGATTATTATATGAAACAAACAAAAATATATCTTCTATGTAACACTGTTCTTAGAACCCATGACTTTGAAATTAGCTTGGTTTACAATGTTTTTTCTTGTAATTGTTCTTGTCATCATATGTTTTATCCATAGAGGTTCACTATCCCTTAACTTCAATTCCAAAATCCAAAAGGCTACAAAAAACAAGTTTTTCATTATTCATTTGGCAGCAAAACCTGATGTGAAATGACATGAGGCTATTTATAGTATTTATTTATCCCACTTGGTTCGAATAGTCTGACATTTTACTACAGAAATAGTAATGTGTGTGATTACAAGGTGCTGCCCCATACCTCTCTGAATGTTACATAACCACAGTACGCGTACTATATTCCATTTCTAAAATCCAAAAACTTCTAAATTCAGAAACACCTGCAGCCCCAAGAACTTTTTTTTTTTTTTTTAGCCACAAGGTACTTTGGACTGGTATACTAATTAAAATTAAATATACGGAAAATATATCCAATACTGAGAATAAAGGTAGATGTTCACATGCAATAAATTCAGTGTCTTATAAGTAATTCACAGTACACAATCCTTTAAAACAAAGCACTAAAAAGATTTTTAACTAATGTCAAAACCCTAAAATACCATTATCTGTTTTTTAAGTGATGGTGACATTTGCATCATCCAATACCTAGATCAACTCCTCTAAGGTTAAAATGCACTAATTTAAATCATAGTTAAAACAGAACCAAGGACTGCAATTGGTTAATTATGTTGAGAAAAAGAATCATCTACTGATAAGTAACATACCGTACCCAGTAAAATGTTCTGATTTTTAAAAAATTTTATCTCAGAGTTTAAGATCTAAAATGATCTTATTCCAGATTATAATTTCTAAACGTTGAACAAATGACAATTGATTTTTTTTCTGTAAAAGCAGAGTCGGACAGGGACAGCTCTTGCATATATTTGAGGGGGGGGCGGGGGGGAGTTTCACAGTCCTTTCCTTCCTTCCTCCTGCAGTTGCTGCCTTCTGGTTTTAGAATTTCAAACAAAGAAATACATATTGGCTCCACTGCTAAGAAACGCCCTCTTTCTCTGCAACTTCCTCTTCCAATTTTCTTCCCTACCATGGACATCCGAGAACAATACACATTGACAATCCTACCATTTTGATGAACCGAAAGCCCTGAGGTTTGGAAAAAGTAAGGGCTGCAATTTATAGGACCCAGCCACCTCCCAATCTAGGCCCACAATCTTTAATCAGCTAGGACTGATAACAGGGACCACAAAGAAACATGCTTAATCGGAGGAAGTCTACTGAACTTTTTACTCAAGAATCCAAAGACATTTGAACTAACAAATGGGAAATTTCTTCCGCCCCAAGAAAACTTGGCCTTCATAGGGAGGAGGGAAAATTACCAGGCTGGCAGCACTCTGAAACCAGTGTGAAGCCGACCCACCATAGATAGTGGGTGAACTTGCTTCTACAAGCCAGCCAGCCAGGATGCAAACGGAACTCTCCCGAGTTCTAACACACTTCAAAGTGACGCTGACAACTTAGAAAAATGGTCTTTTCCAACTACTCACAGACTGAACAAAGGGGACATCAAGACCCAGTTCATCTTCACGCCAGAAGTGTCTGGGACCAGACCCCTCACCCCATTTGTGGCAAAGCAAGCTTCTTGGACGTGGACAGAGACTTCCCCACTGCCCAGAGAGCCTCAAAGGAAACACCTTATCCTTGGTAATCTCTGCACCTTACTGGGCCATCTTGAGCAAGTTACTTAACTCCTTCACTTAGTTTTCTTTATGTGCAAATTCTCAAGGGCAGCTGTAAAAAAATGAAAGGAGAATAGATGCCTAAAGGTCTGACACACAGTAGGGAGCGCCATGCATGTTCTCGCCTCCTCCTCCTCCTCCTCCTCTTCCTGAATTCTTTGGGGCATAAATTTCAATCACAGCCCCAAGAGGCGCCAAGGATTCCTTCCTCTTCTGATTTTATGGAGAACTATGTATTACTTCCCATCTCAGAGGCTCCAGGATCCTGGAGGGCCGAGACATCACTCCATCACACTTTGGGGTCCGTCCAAAGTCTTCGTGGAAAAGCCCCTTTGGCCACTATCCTTACTCTGCAGCACCGCCCTGCACACATACGTGTACACACACACACATACATACATACATACACACGCGCACATACACACATACATACACACGCGCGCACACACACACAGTCCAACCGCCATTCGGCAACTTAGCAGGCCAGGCGCTTCAAAAAGCACCTCAATTCCTTCATGGCCCATAGATGGAAACTGAGGCTCCGCCTGGGGAAGAACTTGCCCAAGATCTCAGGCAGGATCTGGGATCCAACTCATGTACATATGAGACTGCAACGTCTCCGCTTCAAAAATCGGGAACTGAGGCGCAGGGGGGGAAGGGACTTGCCCAAGGTCACACAGCGAGCTGGTGGCAGCGCCGGGTCAGGTTCGGGCACTTCCGAAACCGCACAGACTCGGTGGCCCCGAGTCCCAGAGGGGATCTCCGGGATCCCTCCGCTCGGGGGAGGGGAGTGGAGAGGAAGACGCCACCCCGCGCAGGCCGCTCACCGGCCTCTGCGAGCCCGTGACAGGCGAAGCCCCCGCTCCCGCAGGACCCAGCGCGGCTCGGGAGGGGCAGCCCGGCCCGGCCCAGCACCTCCCGGCGGGGCCGCCCCGTGGGGACTTGTTGCTCACCTGGCCTTGCGCAGCCGCCCTCAGCGACAGACGGGCCGGCCGGTCGCCCTTCTCCGCCTCGGGTCTGTCCCCGCGGGCCGCCCAGGCAGCTGCCACACTGCTGGACGCCGGTCAGTGCGCTACGCCCCCAGCCGTGCTTCACCGGCCCGCGTCCGCCATTACGCGATTCCCCGCCCTGGACGCAGCCACACCCCGCCAACGGTCCTGATTGGCTCTCTGCCCCACCCGCCTGGGGCTTCCGGGCCTTTCATTGGCCTGCACGGAATGCCAGTTAAATAGCCACGCAAAAGACGTACTCAAGTGAACTGTCCCGGGAGCTCCACCCGAGCTACTTCCGCAATCGGAGTAAACAGCGGGGGGCAAACCAAGTGCGAGGGGGTGGAGATTACGTTAAATCAACTCCTAAGTTCAGAGTAGGAAAACTCCACCTAAGAAAGTGTAAAAACTCATGCAAAGTGTATTGAAAGACGAATTCTTTTTCTTAGAGTTAAAAAGAACCAGTGTTTTTGGTGGAGCGGAGGGGCCAAGCTCATGCACTTGCTGTGGACACCCCTCAAGTTGCGCATCGTTTTGTCTCTTCCCTCCCGGTCTCAGGTGGGGCAGAAAGTTGGGTGGAGAGAGTGAGTCACTGGCTCGAACCTTCCAATCTGCGGGGAGGCCCTGGGTCCTGGAACTGGGAGACGGTTCTGAAAGGCCAGGATCAGATGGCCCCCACCTAACTCTGCGACTTCAGACCACTTCCTGAATTTATCTGGGTCTCAGTTTGTCCTGCGAAATAGGAGCAGTCCCGTGAGTGGGTATATGTGCATCTTGTTGGTTATAAAAGGCTGCAGCTGGATATCCGCGTGACATTCGCAAGTTGGCAAAGATACCTCGTTTAATTCTCTAGAGCAACTCTGTAAGACAGATGGTGTTCTTGTTTTGGAGAAGAGAAACTCTATGGCTTATCCTGGGTCACCCAGGGAATTTGAAACAACCCTGGGACTCAAACCTGTATATTTTGGTTTCCTCTCCTGCATGTCTCCCTTGCAGGCCTGGTGTCCCCTGAGAAAGACTTCCCTCCCCCAAACCCTTAGCATTCCAGGGAGGGTCTTGAGGGTGCCCGGCCAGTTTCCCATCTCTCTGGTCACCAAAGACTGGCACAGCCCCCCTCCCCTCTCCCCCCGCCAAAGCTATTGTCAATCACTAAGGTTTCAGGGGAAAAGTGATCCTCCTCCGGGTGTGCCTGAGTTGCTTCTGGTATCCTAAGAATCCGGAAGTGAGTAAGGGATGACAGGTTGGTCAGCAACCCAGACAGAATCCCAAAGGAGGTCACAAGCTCCAAGAGAGGCAGTGACGCCACTGTGGGCCCTCGGGGGGCAGCACCCATGCCAGGATTTACATCCAGGTCTCTCTGAACTCAGGACAGTGCTCTTTTCACTGCAGGATGGCTACTCCCAGAAGGGCTGCCTTGGCTGTAATTTCTAGTCATTTTCCCTCTCTGTAAAAAAAGGAAGTCGAAGGGAGTGTGGGGGACGGGAAGGGAAGCAGCTTTAGAAGGACAGAGACCACCAAGCAGGTGGTGTCCATGGCCCCAGTGCTGGCTGAGCCATGACCTCCAGGCTCAAAATGGGACGTGTGGTCTGACAATCAATTACTATTTACATCCTGTCCGTGGCCACTGGGTGCGGGGAGACAGCAGGTGCTGTGCAGAGATTCAATGGGGTCAGACTGACCTTCCATTTAATCCAAAATCAACCACTTTCTAGCTCTCTGAGCCTCACCTACCTCTTCTCTAACATGGGTAGTTGTGAGGACTCAGTGAGTAATTGTGCAATTAATGAGACGTGTGTAAAGTGCCTAGTAGCCATTTATTCATTCATAAATTCATCTATTCAGAAAAAAAAAATTATTAAACACCGACTATGTAGGGCAGCCTGTTAGTGATGCAGCTACAATGGCAAACAAAACAGACTCAGACCCTCATAGAGCTTAGAGTTTGGTGAGGAAGTAAGTTGTTAAACAAATGATCAGATGGATCAAAATTCAATTAGAAACTGTGATAAGGAACAAGAGGCAAAGTGCAGTGTGTTTATAAGAGCAAATGTCAAGGGATGGGGTGGGGTTGGAGGACGCTTCCTGAAGAGGTGGTGTCTAGATGAGTGGGGCTGAACGAGGCAGCAGGTAGTTGAGAGAAGTGTTGCAGGCCTAGGGAGAGGGTGTGGAAGACATCTAGGCCAATAGAGACAGTGGCAATGGGAAGGGAGGACAAAGCTCTCTGGGGCCTAAACAAACGTGGTGTTGCAGGGAAGGGAACCTAGCTTTAAAAGTGGGGCTATTCTCCAAGGGCATCTATATTTTTCTGATACAGTGGGGCCTTGACTTAGGAGTTTAATTCGTTCCGTGACGGAGCTCGTAACTCAAATTACTCGTATGTCAAATCATAAAGTGAACGAGCGAGACACGTGATGCTGGGCTGATGTTGTGGCGTTCACTGTGACGTTCGCTGCGCCAACTAGCAGTGGGGTATCTGAAGCTGGCTCGTAACCCGAATTTCAGCTCGCAACACAAAGCAAAATATCAGCCGAGAGACGGCTCGTATCTCGAAAAACTCGTTAGTCTGGACACTTGTAAGTCAAGGCCCCACTGTAGTTCCTGAAAGAATGCGAGCTCTGAGGCCAACCCATCTGGATTTGAATCTTGGCTCTGCGATCTTATTTTAGACTGTGTGACCTTGAGCAGTCACTACACCTCTCTGTGCCTCAGCTACTCTTCTGAAAAAATGGGGATAATAATAGGGAGCCATAAGGTGGAGGTGAGGATTCAACGTGGAAATGTGTACAAAGCATTCTGGCACATGAGGGCACTCCGTAAAATGGTGCTTGGTTTTCCCGGCATAAAGGGAGGTGAACCTGAGGCAACAGATCCAGCAGATAGGTGCATTTGGGAGAAAGCTGGTGCGAGAGGCTATACACTGGGCAAGTTGTCATCTGACCTTAATTGTCATAGAAGACTTTGGAGCCATGCAAACTTGGGTTCAGCCATGGCCAGTGTGGCTCAGTTGGTTAGCACGTCGTCCCGTATACCTAAATGTTGCAGGTTCAATTCCCAGTAAGGGCACAGACCTAGCTTGTGGGTTCAATCCCCGGTTGTAGCACAAACGGAAGTCAACCAATTATTGTTCTCTCTCACATTGATGTTTTTCTTTCCCCGCTCATTCTAAAATCAACAAGCATATCCTTGGATGAGGATTGAAAAAAACAACAACAACAACAAAAAAAACCTGGGTTCAAATCACAGTTATACCACTTGCTAGCAGAGTGATGTTGGGCAAGTGACGTCACCTATCTGAGTCTCAGTTTCCTTATCCATAAAATGGAGATCATAATTGTTTCTATTTCCCAGAGCTGTGAGGATTAAATAAGAATAAACGTGCCGAAACCGGTTTGGCTCAGTGGATAAGAGCGTCGGCCTGCGGACTGAAAGGTCCCAGGTTCGATTCTGGTCAAGGGCATGTACCTTGGTTGCGGGCACATCCCCAGTGGGAGATGTGCAGGAGGCAGCTGATCGATGTTTCTCTCTCATTGATGTTTCTAACTCTCTATCTCTCTCCCTCCCTCTCTGTAAAAAATCAATAAAATATATTTTAAAAAAAAAAGAATAAACATGAAGCACTTAGCACAGTGATCGGCACATAGTAGCAGTTGTTGAATGTTAAATTTTTAAAAAATATTTGTATTGATTTCAGGGAGGAAGAAAAAGAGAGAGAGAGAGAGAACATCAGTGATGAGAGAGAATAATTGAGTGGCTGCCTCCTGCAGGCCCGCTCGGGATTGAGCCCACAACCTGGGCATATGCCCTGACCGGAATCAAACTGTGACCTCCTGGTTCATAGATCGACGCTCAACCACTGAGCCATGCCAGCTGGGCTGAATGTTAATTTTTAATAATAGTTAAATTTTTAAAAAATATTTGTATTGATTTCAGGGAGGAAGAAAGAGAGAGAAAGAGAGAAACATCAGTGATGAGAGAGAATAATTGATTGGCTGCCTCCTGCAGGCCCCACACGGGATTGAGCCCACAACCTGGGCATATGCCCTGACCGGAATCAAACTGTGACCTCCTGGTTCATAGATCGACGCTCAACCACTGAGCCACGCCAGCTGGGCTGAATGTTAATTTTTAATAATAATTATTATTATTGATATCAGCAGTTACTACCTATACTAGATAAGACTCTGGGGCTTTGCTTGAAGGTTGTCTGGCAATAGGAGCCTAGGTAGTTTCTGCTTTTAGACAATAAAGATAGACAAGTTGCTTTCAGAGGGGGTAATGCTGTCATTTTAATGGTGGTAATAATAAGCACTGATGTTGACTATTTCCTATGTGCCAACTATGTGTTAAGTGCTACATATGCATTAGCCATGCCCTAGCTGGTGTGGTTCAGTTGGTTGAGCATCATCCCATGCACCTAGAGGTCATCTGTTTGGTTGACTTCTAGTCCCACACATGACCAGGTCGCAGGCTCAATCCCTGGCAGGAGGCATGCAGGAGGCAGCCGATTGATGTTTCTCTCTCCCTTCCTCTTTAAATTCAATTTTTTAAAAAACAAACATTATAAAACAAATAAATAAACCTGCATAGCCAGTCCTGCAAGTCAGGTCCTATTATTATCATCATTTTACAAATGAGACAAAGGAAACCCAGAGAGGGTAAGTGACTTGCTGAAAGCTCCCCAGCCAGGAAACAGCACAGCTGGAATTTAAATCAAACCTTGATTTTGGGGGGTTTGCTGTTCTTGAGGGCAAGCCCTACCTCTTCTATTCAAAGAATTAGAGTTATCACCTGGAGTTAGAGGGATAAAATTATTCACTGCCCCCTAGCTGCTTTGGTTCAGTGGATAGAGTGTAGGCTTAGATTTTATTCCAGTCAAGGGCACATATCTCGGTTGCAGGCTCAATCCCCAGCCCTGATCTGGGCACATGCGAGAGGCAACCAATCGCTGTGTCTCTCTCATTGATGTTTCTCTCTCTCTCTGTTTCTCCCCCTCCCTTCCACTCTCTCTAAAAATCAATGGAAAAATATCCTCAGGTGAGGATTTACAAACAAACAAAATTATTCACTATTAGTAGCAAGTCCCCAGGTTCCCAAGGCCAACCCTCATTCCTTTCACATCAATTCTAAAAAGTAACCTAGGTCTATTCCTTGTCCCCTGAGGCTGATAAGAGCAGGAAACAGACCCTCTTCCTCTACCAGGGGTATAAAAGATATTTAGAGTCACCAGAACTGGGTCTGAGTCCCACTGTGCCACTTAATGGGTCTGTAATCTTGACCAAGTCACACCCCCTCTCTGAGCCTCAGTTTTCTCATCTATGAAATAGGCACAATAACAGCCCTGCCTCTGGGGCAGTTGTGAGGAGCAGAAAAAACAAGGCCTGCATAAACTATCAAGTGCTATCAGCACAAGAGTTCCTCTCCTGGTTGCTATGGGGATGGCAAGCACTCTGGGAACGCAGCCCAAAGCAATATAACAGGCAAAATAACCTTCTCTGAAAGACAGTCCTGGGTTCGAGTCCAAGATCTGCCTTTTACACTCTGTGTGGCTTTGGGCAAGTTATGTAAGCTGGCGGAGCCTCAGTTTTCTCATCTACAGAATGGAGTGAATACTGCTGATCTTGTAGAGCTGGGAAGAAACCATGAAATTGCATAAGAAGTCATGAGTCAGTGGCTGGTACAGAGCTGGCAGAGCGAAGCCTGCTAAGGGGATTCTAGGGGAAGAGACCAAAAAAAGATCACCCTGACCCCTCCATGCCACCCCTTATCTGAGGGGAAGACAGTAGAGAGCTCTGTGCTCAGAGTCTAGAATGGTTTCCAGCCATTAACTACCCTACCTCTGGCAGAATTCTCAGCTCAGCTGGTCTCTCTCTCTCTCTCTCTCTCTCTCTCTCTCTCTCTCTCTCTCTCTCTCTCTCTCTCCTCTCTCGTCAAACAAGTTCTTCTCCACTGAGCAATCCCAGGGGGCCCCATCCTCGGTTCCAGCCAAGCTCCAAGGCTTTCTCCGCCTCCACATCCTTAATCCACAGCCTTTGCATTTGCCATTCCTTCCACCTGGAATGCTCTCTCCTCCTGGAGTGCCTTTGATGGGGCCGAGGCGGATGCTGGAGGGAAAGGATCTGGAATGATGCTCCCCCACCTCCTCACTCCCCTCCCTTGCACACCCCACGCTGCATGCCTGACCTCCCCCTCCCAGCTTGGGGACGAGGCAGCGCTGGGAGGGGGAGGGAGAGGGGGAGAGCTCAGCGAAGAGCCCTCTGTGGGGTTTTTCACCTGCTCAGAAGAGGCAGACGGAAATGAAAGCTCTAGAAAAAGCGCCTGCTGCTCTGCTCCCGAGGCCCCAGCTTAGTGAAGCCTCCCTGCCTTCCCACTGCGCCATCTTCTCTTCCTCCCCCTCCTCCTGCAGGCAGGTGCCACAGTCAAGGAACATTGGTGGGCGGCAGGCCTGAGAGACCAGGGTTCAAATCCCATTTCTGCCACTTACCCAGCGAGTGGCCTGCTTACACCACATTTCTTTGTGAAAGGACACAACAATCCCTGCCTTTCAGGCTGCTGTGAGGACTGAGATGCCAGATGAAAGTGCCTGGCACAACCAAAGCGCTCGGCAATGGAGAGCATAGCAATGGCAGCAAAGACACACCATGCCCAGGTGCGCCTGGCACAGTTCTCAGCACCTTGCACACATTAGCTTCTTTAATTCCTGATAAGGTAGATACCATTACTGTCTCCATTTTACAGATGAGGAAACGGAGGCACAGAAAAATTAGATAGTTTGCCCAAGGTCACACAGCCAGTAAGAGGCAGAACATAATCTCTGTTCTCACCCACTACACTATGGTGTGCTCGGTGATAGTTGGCCATTATTATTGTTAATACTAGGGGCCCAGTGCACAAATTCATACACCTTGAAAGGAACTGTGGGCCGCGAGGCTGCGGTAGGCACAGGGGGGGGTCTCGGCCCATCCTCCATGCCCCCACCCGCCCCTCCCACCATGCCCCCCCCCAGTCCCTGTAGGCTGGCAGCCTCGCTCCCGCTGCCACTCCCACCAGCTGACAGTGCAGAGCAATTGGGGTCGATGCCAACATTGGGTGCAAGTGGTGCCGGTGCCATCAGCAGGTGCGAGTGGCAGCTGCTGCCCCGAGCGCCCCTCAGGAGCAGGGGGAGGTGGAGAAGCCCTCAGGGGCTATCGGGCCGGCAGCCACCCGCACCGCTGAGTGATTGGGACTGGCACTGGGCACTGGCAGCAGATGTGTGGTGGCTCCAGCACTGGCTGCCAGCGGGGCTGGCACTGGCAGTGGGTGCGAGCACTGGGCGGGACTATGGTGCACAGGAGCAAAGAATTTTCAGTAATCACCAGAGGCTCGCCCCAGTGAGAGCAACCAGCCTTGGTCTGGCACCCCTGCTCACCTGCTCCACCATCCCGCTGCAGCCAGCACCTGCTATGTTCAACGCACGCCCCCTGGTGGTGAGCACACGTCATAGCAACTGGTTGTTCGGTTGTTGGGTTGTTTTGGTTGTTCTGCCATTCGGTCTATTTGCATGTTAGCCTTTTATTATATAGGATTATTTGTTCTTATCTATCTCTTTCCTCCTACCTTCAAAATCCTGCTTAAATTTTCCCTCCTTTGTGACATCTCTTAGTCTGTTCATTTAACAAGCATATATTGCTATCTGCTTTGGCCAGGCCTACGCAGGGCAGTGGGGACCCAAGAGTCAATCCACCCAGTCTCTGCCTGCCAGTGGCTCCCAATCTGTTGAAGGAGAAGACACATACATAAAAATTACAAAAAGAAGAGGGAGACACCAGCCCTGGCTGGGTAGCTCAGTTGGTTAGAGCACCGTCCCGATATGCCATTGTTGTGGGTTCAGTTCCCAGTCAGGCCACCTAAAGAAGCAACCAGTGAATGCATAAATGTGGAAAGACAAATTGATGTCTCTCTCTTTCAAATAAATAAATAAATAAATAAAATTTAAAAGAGGGAGATGCCAATTCAGCAGGAGCTGTGAGCTCACAGAAGCATAGAACTTAACTGGGGGTTGGAACAGGCTTACAGAGGAGGGGTCATCTGAGTGGGTCTTGAAGAATGAATAGGAGTTCCTCAAACAGAGTTAAGAAATGGGAGCATAGAATACGATGCATAGTGCAGATCCTGCGAAAGGGATTGAATAAATTAAGGCTAGAGAGCCAGGCCTTGCACTGGGTGCTGCAGGTATAGAGGTGGAAAGATATTAACTGGGCCCTCAGAGAACTTACAGATTTGGTGTGGGGGGGATAAAAAGCAACAAGTAAAGTAAAAATATTCATATTAAAGAAGCATCCAGAGAAGCTTTGGGACTACCAAAAAGAGACCTAAACGGGTTCAGCAAAGGCTTCCTGGAGGAGTATTTGATGTCTAGGCTGAGACTTAAAGATCAGAGCCGGATTATGTCACCTACTGCCCACCCAGCCCATATATAAAGTCAACATAAAAGCAATACTAACTATAAAATAAGAACAGGAGCCCTAGCCTGTTTGGCTCGGTGGATAGTGCATCGGCCTGCGGACTGAAGGGTCCCAGGTTTGATTCTGATCAAGGGCACATGCCTGGGTTGCAGGCTCAATCCCCAGTAGGGGGCATGCAGGAGGCAGCCAATCGATGATTCTCTCTCATCATGATGTTTCTATCTCTCCCTCTTCCTTCCTCTTTGGAATAAATTTAAAAATAAAAAATAAAAATAGGAAACTCCAATAAAAGTTCTGATTTTGTCCATGAACACTATTTCAATAATTTTTTTTTTTTAATTATCAGCCTGGCCAGTGTTGCTCAGTAGTTTAGCATCAACCCAGGAAGCAAGAGGTCGCCGGTTTGATTCCTGGTCAGGGCACATGCCCAGGTTGCAGGCTCAATCCCCAGTGGGGGGCATGCAGGAGGCAGCCATTCAATGATTCTCTCTCACCATTGATGTTTCTATCTCTCTCTCCCTTCCTCTCTGAAATCAATAAAAAAAAATATTCTTAAACAACAAACAACATTTTCTAAAAATAATTTGATGTTTGATAATTTTCAAAAAAATTTTTTTATTGATTTCAGAGAGGAAGAGAGAGATAGAAACATCAATGATGAAAGAGACTCATTGATCAGCTGCCTCCTGCACGCCCCACATTGGGGATCGAGCCCAATCAGAATTGAATTGTGACCTCCTGGTTCATAGGTTGATGCTCAACCACTGAGCCATGCTGGCCGGGCTGAAAATAATGTTTTTAGAGCCCCTGCTTGGCTGGTGCCTAAGCACATGGCTGCTCTGCTCACTGGGTAATCTAACAGGGTGATAGGCCAGAGGGAGTCCAGCAGGTGAGAGGTGGAGAAGGGTGTGGCAGGCACTAGGAATTTCACCTGCAAAGGCCCAGAGGCAAGAGAAAACTTGGTGGGGAGGGAGGAAATCTTTCGATGGAGCTGGCGGGTAACAGTGGTGGGAAGGAGAACTGGACTAGATTCTCAGGGTGCTGGGAAGGCACTTTTAACGGGGATTCGTCATAATCAAATGTCCTTTTTGTGAGATCACTCTGAATATTTCTAGAGACTTATTTATGGTTTGAATTCATTCATTCAAGAGACCATGTATCTCCTGTGTTTCAAGCACCGACCCAGGCCTGGGGCTGCAGCAGATCATTAAGGGTTGTGCAGCCAGAGCAAGACGTGCAGGGACACCGAGCTCCACACCTACAAAGGTGTCTGAATGGATAAAGGTCTGGAGTGAGAAAGTGCATGACTTCCACAAAGAGAAAGGTAAGCCCATGCTGGACAACGGAGCGGCAAAATGGGAGATGGCGCTCGGGGAACGTGCAGTGAGAGATCAAGGATTCACACGAGAGAATAAAGGAATGAGAGCAGGAGTGGAGGCGATCGATGGCGGGTGAATCCTGATCTCGTGACCTCCATAGAAGGTGGCCGAGTGGGCAGAGGGGCAGAGGCCCCAGTCAGCCCCTTCAGCCGCCCATGCTGTCTCAGCCCTGCTGAGCCCTGCAGCTTGTGCTCTGGCTCTAGAAATCAGACCAGACTCTGAAGGAGAACAGAGGCAGGTGAGGATGGGGTGGGCGGGACACAAGCCCAGACCTCTCACCCCAGCAGGGCCTTCCTTCCCCGTGGCTGGAGCCAACCCAGTCGAGGAATCAGAGGTTACAGGGAAGGATTAAGGAGTTGGTTGCTTTTTTACCCAAAATATGGCTGCATTTCTCTCTCTCTCTCTCTCTCTCTCTCTCTCTCTCTCTCTCTCTCTCAAGAAAAATGTTCCTGTACACGCACCCGGAGGCTTTTGCAGGAGGCGGCTGTTGGAGAACCGGGAAAACAAGCCAAGAAACAAGAGAGAGGAAAAAGACCACGCCTTGCCTGGCAGATTCCTAATGGCCCAGGAGACCTGAGGCTTTACAGAGGGAGTCTGGTGGGGGCTGCCTTGGGTGGGAGGGAAGGGCAGGCCGAAGGACAGCCACTTGCTGGCTGGTGACCTTGGGCGGGATGCTGCCTGCTTTCCTCTGGTGGGAATGGGGAGGAGGGGGGCAGGGGCAGGGCTGGCCGGCTGAGGTCACAGGAAGGCCCCTTCGAGCCTGAAACGCGATCTCGGGATGTGGGGCCTGCCAACCTGCAGCGACCCTGGGCCAGCAGAGATGAAAGGCTGCCTGTCCCCAGCTTCCGGACCCCTGAGGCCCCAATGCCTCAAACTTGAAGGGCAGTAAAGCTGCTACAGCTGGCTGGAGCCGGTTGTTGTGCTCCCCACCCCACCTGATGTCATCCAGCCTTCCCTTCCCTGTTTTGCAGAGGACACTCAGGCCCAGAAAGGGCCGGTGACCTGCCCAAGGTCACACAGCAAATTGGAAGCGGAGCCAGGACTCATCACGAAGTCCTTGGACTCCAAGTCCAGGCCTCATTCCCTTTCCCAGAAACTTGGCTGCCTGGGGGTTTACCCTGGGGAGTTGGAGAGACCCAGGCGTAGGGAGGACAGTTAGGAGCTGTGTCTGTTTGAAAGCTTAATGTTGACTAAAGTGCCTTTTTTTTTTTTTTTTTTTTAAGACAAAAAGAACCGTTCCAGTCCCTGACATGAGCCTGGGCTTGCTCTGCTGGCAGGGGAAGGAATGCAGTTCTGGCCGCCACAGCTGCTGGTGGCCAGCTGCGGCTTCAGCTCTTGCTGCTCCCACCCCAGCGGGCAAAGGGACAAAGGCCTCTTCTCAGGCCTGTCCCCTCCAGCCCCTTGGATCAGTGGGGGCAGAGAATCTACCAGGAGGTGGGGTCACTGACCAGCCAATGACTTAGCCGTTCCTCTCTGGATCTCAGTGCCCGTTCTGGAAAATGGGGGCAGAGCATTTGCCTGACTGACTTCTCAGCGTTGTTTTCCAAAGAGGTGAGGTTACAGAAATGCATTCTTCTCAGCTGAGGGGCTGCCTACTCAGAGACCCCTCTGCCGCCAACGCCCCCCCCCCCCACCTCATGCCTCACCTGGCCAGCCCCTGCTCACTCCGCTCAGCTCAGCAGAACCATCCCCTGCTCTGGGGAGCCTCCCCCCACCTCCGGCCTGTGCTGCTTCTGGGTATTCATGGTATTAATCACTGCGGTAATTAAATAATTAATTGTGTAATTGGATCTGTCTCCCCCACTAAATGTGAACCCTGTAATAATAATAGCTGACACTGACTGAACGCTTCCCCCGTGCCAGAGACTACAGGTATTACCTAACCCACTTCATCCCTTTGGCAGGTACCGTTACGTTAGTTCCCCATCTTACAGACGAGGAAACTGAGACAAGGAGAGGTTCCGTACGTCACCTGAGGTCACAGCAAGTTGGAGGCTGAGCCGGGACTTAGCACAAAGAAGTTGCAGAACCAGGATTCAAACCCAGACCCCAAGCTATAACCATTACCCCACTAATAAGTCAGCTTGTTTCCTGCCTATTCCCAGCTCCCAAAACATCTGGTATACAGTAAGCGCTCCATGTACAAACAGTAGGTGTCTGAATACATAAACAGGTAACGAGTACACAGGAGTATTTGGAGGAGAATAGAGCACCTTCCAGGAGTGCGTTTTTCGGGACCGTATGTGGAGCTGAGCCATGGTGAGGGGAGCGAGTGCCTGGTAGACTGCAGTCGTCCCCATTATCTGCCTTTTCGCTTTCTGCAGTTTCAGTT